GTATATGTGCACTTCACAATGCAATTAGGAATGTGGGGTTAGTTGGGAAATGTGGACTACTGACAACAAAGAATGTGCTGGCCTGCCTTCTGTCAGCTGGCACAGAGCCACTTGTATTGATTTCTGCTGGAGCCAACTATCCTCTCAAGATTTTTGATGTAAAATTAACATCCAACCCTTGTATTTGCTTTTATAGTATTACAGTTATACACTCAAAGTCCACTTTATTAGGAACACCTGTACATTCATGAAGTTATCTAATCAGCCAATATTGTTGCAAAAAAAATCATGCAGATACAGGCCAAGAGCTTCAGTTAATGTTCACATCAAACATGAGAATGAAGAAAAAATGTGATCTCTGTGACTTTAACCATGGCATGGTTGTTGGTGCCAGACGGGCTGTTTTGAGTATTTCAGAAACTGCTGATCTCCTGAAATTTTCACACACAACAGTCCTGTGAGTGGAGGGTCTGAAACACCTTTCTGATGAGAGAGATGAGAGGAGAACGACCAGTCTGGTGACAGGAAGTGTATAGTAACTCAAATAAACACTGTTTGAGGTTTGACACATCAGGCTCCACACCTGCAGCCTGCAGACCCTCTGCTCACAGGATTTTTTTATTTGTTTTTTGCACCATTCTGTGTAAACTCTAGAGACTGTTGTGTGTGAAAATCTCAGGAGATCAGCAGTTTCTGAAATACTCAAACCAGCCCGTCTGGCACAAACAACCATGCCACACTCAAAGTCACAGAGATCACAACTTTTCTTCATTCTGATGTTTGATGTGAACATTAAATGAAGCTCTTGACCTGTGATGATTTCATGATTTTTGCATTGCACTGCTGACACATGATTGGCTGATTAGACAGCTGCATGAATGTGCTGGTGTAAGGTGTTCCTAATAAAGTGGACAGTGAGTGTATATGCGGTATTACTGTACATTTAACAATTTTTCTATGTATTTTACGGTAAAATGCTGGCAGCTGTGGTGTGTGTGTGTGTGTGTGTGTATATAGAGATACATAGATAGATAGATATAGATATAGATATAGATAAAGATATATAGATATATGTGGTTGCCAGAGATCCTGCGTAAAAGACAAAGACAAACAAGACAAAATTCACCATAAATATAGTGAAAGAAATATCTGGATATAGATAGAGAGGATGGATGACTTCAAGTACTTACAAGGTTGTCTCTCGAAACAGGCAGATAATCTTCTGTCACCAGGAATTGGTCACTGCTGAATCACAGCAATGGAGAACAAAGAGAAACAAAACAAAATATAAATGTTAAAAAGAAAAGCAACCACTGAATACAGACAAAATAAAATTACAAAAAATTATGCTTGTGTGTATGGGTGTAAAAGATGTACTTTCCAAAAAGATGTACTGAAACAATCTGCTGTCTACTTGGTAATAAGAGTTCTTTCTCATTACTATTAGTTTGTAGTGGTAAAAATACAAAGTTTATTCCTTACAACTACAATAAAGGGTCATCAAGATCCAAAAGGTAATTATCAGATTACGTAGCTGTTATGATTTTTGGGGAAAAATAATGAAAAAAAAAACAACAAAACCTCCAAAACAAAAATACTCAAAAAATCCCACAAGAGTCACATGTGATTGTCCCTTGAATCACAAGATCAGCTGATTAAACAGGTGGAATCAGGTGTGACTCCTGCTTGGTTGGAAGAAAAAGCTGCACCCACACAGGCCCATTACAGATTGGATTGTGGATAATACACTATCTCTCTCTCTCACACACACACACACACACACACACACACCTTATTCACCTTTGCAATAACTTTTAAAAAATAATCAAATAATTTTACATTTTAAGGTGGGCAACATAGAAAAAAATGAAGGGTCATTCAACAACATCCTATTGTAATGTAGTATTATGTAACTAACAAATATCACTTTTTGGACACATTAAATATATAAATGCAGTTATATTGGTATAATATGCAATTGTCTTTACATATATAAAAATATAATTGTGTGCACCAAATTGATCCCAAAATAGGCCTGCATTGTTTTGACAAGTATTGTTTACCATTCAATAAATCAGTTCATCATTCACTGTGAACCTTTCATTAAAAATGAAACCTAGAATTTGAAAAAAGAGAGAATTTACAGTTTTCTGTGTATTATGAGGGCTCAGTGACAAAACAAAGTCCAGACTGGTAAATGAATACAGTCCTGAGATATTAAACATAACATTTTTATGGAAATATACAGGGTGTCCCAAAAGTCTCCATACATTAAACGCTTTTCAGCAAAATGTAACTTTATTTACAAAACATCATATATATGATTGACATTTATTTGTAAGTGCACACAGAGTCATATACTGTAATGTAAATACAGAGGGTTTACAACAAGGTGCAAACCACTGGTAACATTCAAAAACAGGAAAGCCAGATTAGACTTTGCCAGAAAACACAATAAGAGGGTGTCAGTCAGAGAATTAGGGTCGAATTTGAGGAGGCAGCCTCTCCTGATCATGTTTCCTGATCATCAGAAGGCCTGGCTCGCAGTCTCCACTCTAATTCATCCCAAAGGTGTTCTACTGGTTTGCGGTCAGGACTCTGTGCAGGCCAGTCAAGTTCCTCCACACCAAACTCGCTCATCCATGTCTTTATGGACCTTGCTTTGTGCACTGGTGCACAGTCATGTTGGAACAGGAAGGGGCCATCCCCAAACTGTTCCCACAAAGTTGGGAGCATGAAATTGTCCAAAATGTCTTGGTATGCTGAAGCATTAAGAGTTCCTTTCAC